GTCACCCTATCACAGAAAGACAGCAATGTTGCAATGTCAGACTCAACAAGCAAAGAGCCTCTAAGGACAGAGCAGCCAGACCTCCAGCAGGTCTTTTGTGTGTATGTTGCTGACACTTATTGAGCACACATGGCATCCTAAGCAGACACTAGCTAAGTTACATGTTTCATACCCATTATAAAGGGAGAACATGAGGCCCTGAAGAGATGGAAACAGGACACACAGCCGGAGAGGAGCCAGATTGGAATAGAACCCAGAGTCAGATCTCAAGGACTTGCCAGGACACCACAGCTAAGCTGGCTGGTGATTTCCAAAGCACCATGGTGCTAAAAGACACCATTTACCCTGTTTAAGAAGGCAGGCTCTGCTGAGTGTAGTGGCCTTTAATCCCAGCACTCAAGAGACAAGTGAATCTGTGTGTCCCAAGCCAGTCTGGTCTATTTGGAGAATTCCACCCAGCCAGGGCAACACAGTAAAATCTCTCAAAAATAATAAATACACAAAAATAAAAATATTTTTTAAAAAGAGGGCAGACTTGGCACTTCTGAAGCCCTGGGTTTGAACCCCAGCACCACACACACAACCAGGAGATGTAGAACCTACTTCTTGAAGTCTCCCATCAAAAAGAGTTCAAAGAACTAGGATTTTGTTGTGACATGTTGATGAAATGATATTTTCTAGCACATTTCTTTACTAAACTCAGAGGATGAGCAGCATGGATTCAAAATGTGAACATTTGCAGGAAAATCAGAAAAGCAGAGTCAGGCATGGCAGCTTACACCTGTATTTCCTGCACTCAAGGCTGATGCAGGAGAATTGCCACCAGGAGATTAGCCTGGACTACAGAGTGGTAGCCTATCTCAAACAAAAATTAAGTAAATCAGAAAAACAAAATGTTTAAATGAAACAAAAATAATAAAATGAAACGAGACTGAGAAATAATAAAAGAAATAATAAAACAAAAGGAGTCTGATTAAGTTCTAACTCTATACAAGAAAAATGTAACTTTCTAGGTTAAAAAGGCAAGACTAAGGTCATGAATGTTGGGGGGTTGTATGTAATGGTATAGACATAATTAAACCGTACTTATTTAAATGTTCTGATGAACGGTAAAACTACTGTTGATGACGCTTTTTTTTTTTTTTTTTTTTTTTTTTTTTTTTTTTTTTAACTTGAAGCAGGGTGCAGTGGCACATGCTTACAATCCCAGCACTCACAAGGGAGTGGCTGGAAAGTTAGAGACCAGTTTGAGCTACATAATGAGACACTGTCTCAAAGCAAAACAACAGCAAAGAACTAAATGGTAACATGAGGAAAAGACACTTTAGATTTTAAATCAAATTGGCTCAGCTATCTAGAAAAGCCCCTGTCATCCAGAGCGACATAAATGAGAAGTTTTGGATGACTTGCCTGTTTCTTCAAGTGAAGTGGGAGTTCTCTCTCCCCACTTTGTGGCCCTGTGCCCTAAGCGACTCCTCAGAACAAATGGCTGCAAAACCTCCTGTGACAGACTCCCTGTTCTCCACCATGGCGTCCCCTAGTGCCTAAAACGGTGCTTGGCTCACAAAGCACACAGTCCATAGGAGATGAAGAAGGAATACACAGGGAGGTGTGGGATAGAGGAGGACCGTGCAGGGCTCAGCAATCTGGACCCAATAGGACCAGGCCAGGCCAGTACCTGTGTGTACTTGAAGGAAGTGGACAGGGGACATCCAAGGCAAAGCAGGGAAGCCTGGCCTTCTAGATTAAAAAAACAAAAAACAAAAAAACAAAACAAAACAAAAAACAAACAAAAAAAAAAAAAACAAACAACCCTCCTTCCCTACCCAGGCCCAGTACCCACATGGCCAACCTGGAGTCCCTGAAACCACACCCCTAGCCCAGCAGTCTTGGCACAGTATCAGTTTCTGCAGCTATCGATGGAACTTATTTGCAGCTCCCAATACAGAGTGATATTCAGAGAAGCCATAATCAAAAGCCACATGAGCCCTACCTGACAGGCCCCCACTAAGACCATCCCTCCACACAGCCATTCTGACTCCACACTCAGATCTGGGACAAGCTGGACCACGCAGTCCAGGCCAAGACCCAGGGAGGAAGCCATTCAAGAGGAGAGACTTGCAGCTTGGTGAGGGAGCAGCCCGTAAATCAGGTCCCACTCCCACCCAGTCGCTAACAAGCGGCTGCCTACCCGCCTACGTGGGGTCCCTGCCTCAGGCTTCCACAGCGGCCTGGACAACCAGCTGGCCAAGGCCTCCCCAGTCAGTGCCTTGGCCTCTGCCCCTGCCCAGGGCCCCCAGAAAGATAGGGGTATTTTTTTTTCTTTTAGGAGAGTGAAAAAAGATATAAACCTAAATGAAGAGAAACACCAACAAAGGAGAGGCCTGCAGAGTCACGTGGGGGCAGAGACCAATTGGGCCTCCGGTGCCCCCCCCCACCCACGCGGGGAGGAGGAGAGGACTATCCGACTGGGCCAGTTTGCAGTCTGCCCGCTTCCCGCCTGCTGCTGAGGGAAGAAGTTCCTGAGAGTCCGCTAGCCACTGCCCTACCTGGGCCCTGGGAGCTTCCCACCAGGACTCTGGTGCCCAGTGTCCATCCTCATCCGGCTGAGAGTTCTCCTTCCGCTCAGTAAGTGAGGCCGGGGCCCAGGCCTCTAATGGCCAGCCTCCCTTCTCAGCACCTCACTCGGGCCTGGACTGGCCACTGCCTGTTCTGCAGAATGACCAATGCCCACTACTCTGGGCAGGGAAAAGGTCAGGGGTCTCCCCAGATCCATTTTCTCATTACAATATCCCTCATCTTTGCTAGGCTGTTAGGAGGAGCTAGGCCTATGACGACAGACCTAGTGGGGTCTAAGGGTGGCCGTGGTGTGGTGTCTGAGGGTGGTGTCTTAGAGGTGTGTTCCTGTGGGTGTAGTGTTCTGTGACTGTTCTGAGGGTCTCTTGAGCTTATCTTCCGGTCTTGGAATCTTGCTGCCTGAGTGTCTGAGTTGCCTCTATGGAGGTATCTGAGACTCCCTATGTGTATGTCTGTGTTTCTACTGTCAGTCTAGGCCAGTGTCTACTTTGCTTCCCTGGGTGGATGAAGGGCTGTGAGTCACTGTAAGGATATATGTGTGTAGGGGTGGGAGTGGGGGGTCAGTGGAGCCATGGCTTCCAACCTGGAGTAGTGAGCCCCCGGGAGAAAGGGTTGAGATAGAGGAAAAAAGGTAGGGCTGCTTCTTACCCATCCCCCGTCCCGCCAGGGATTTAGCCCAGAGGAGTACCCACACTGTCCAAGAGGCCCCTAGCGGGCTCTAGCCTAGAGACGCCTACTCAGGAGCCCAGCCCTCTCCTTCACTCCCCCACTGCCTACTGGCTTCTGTGCCTTGGTGCATTTGGGGGGCTTTTGTTTTGTTTGTGTTTGTGTGTTTGCCATTCTAGAAATGAACGCAGAGCCTCACACTGGGTGTGGTCTGCCACTGAACCCCATTTCCTCCCCAGTTTCACTTTCTGAGGGTTCCTGTCTGAAGGAGATTTGATCATAAGCCGGTATACCCCCTATCACTGGCTACAACACAGGCTGTATGTAGGTTCTCGGGTGTGAGGAGAGGGCCTGACAGCCTCAGCTCTCTCTCCTTCCAAGATTCATTCACACAGTTTCACCCAAGACCAGTCTTTTCCGAGGAGGGAAGTGACTTGCCTGGACAGGACAGCAAAGTCGGTCAGATTCCGTGCCTCCCTCCACCGGGTGAACGACTTTGCTTTGCTGCACCGGGTCTTCAGCTTTGTTCAAGCACCCTAATCTAGCACCCACAGAAGCCTGAGCCACGGGGTGGGATCCACACAATTTTGGGCCGGTGGGTCTCTGCCAAGGCATAACTTCTGTGCTTCCCACTGCGGCTTTCTGGCGTTCGTGTCCAGCTCCCAGCACGGTCTTCCACCCTTGGTGGCCAAGTGGGCTGAGCTGGATTGATCAGGCCTCTTCAAAGCTCTCTGGGCCTCAGTTACTTCACTTGAAAAGCAGTGTGGTCTAGTGGGCCTTTCCAGCCCAGAGCGACTGCTCTGTCGCGGACCGAGGCGTCCAGGAGCTACTACTCCCTCTATGCCCTCGCTAGAAGAGAGCTCACAGGGGCGGAGGGGTGCAGCTCTCTGGCTCTGCTTTTCGCCCTTGGAGCTCCAGCTGCTTACCAGACCTTGGGATGGCGCAAAGTGGGATGATCACGCTTCCCATATCCATACGAGCATCCTGAGGGAGACTCGTGGAAATGGGGTTCGCCTCGAACTCTCACTGGCCACACCACTTGTCCATCCTCAGCTACCCTCTGGGGGCACCTGACTTCGGATTAAGAAACAGAGCTGGAGCGGGTGCTTGCAGCCTGAGTAGGCAAACGTGGCAGTGTCAACTCGAAAGCTTACTTTCTACCTTGGCCTTGTGCCTTACCCTCGTCCCCACGCTCGCCCTTAGCCACTTCCACACTGCAAAAACCAGCGTTCCTATCTTGGCCCTGGCCACCCCTAAACTGGACTGGCAAACGGGAGCTCGCCTTCTCCCTGCGCAGGCGGTGAACCGAAGCTTCCCCACGCACCACACCTGACCGGATTCCAGGGTGCTCAGGGTCTCCAATTCTCTTAGAGCTCGCAGGCTTCGGAGGACCGAGCTGAGCTGGAGGGCCGGGAGGTGAGGGTGAAGGCCGAGCAGGGCTGTGGGGAGGGCAGGGCACAGGCCGGGCTGTGGGGAGGACGCGGCCCGCGCCTCCGCCCCCGGATACCGCACGCGCGCATATAGAGCGGCCGCCCCGGCCCCGCGCGGCGGGTTCG